AAGCTTGGTCCTTAAAGACGCTCGGCATCCCTGTCTTGAAGTTCAAGACGACGTTCATTTCATTGCCAATGATATTGAGATGATTAAAGGTGCTCTTTCCCTTCCGCTGGTGTGTATCATCTCACATCACCTTCAGGCGAAAGCGAGTTCCAAATCATCAGTAAGCGTCTATCCCTTCCAGCATCGATCATCTTGCTCACTGGCCTGTAGCCGGTCCCAACATGGGTGGAAAATCAACGTACATTCGACAAGTTCGTTTTCTTTTCTTCTCCTTTGAACTGAGGTCTAAAGACATATCGTTAGACGGGTGTGATTGCTCTGATGGCCCAGACAGGATGCTTTGTGCCTTGTTCCGAAGCGAAACTCCCTGTCTTTGACTCAGTATTATGCCGCGTGGGAGCAGGGGATAGTCAGTTGAAGGGCGTCTCCACTTTCATGGCGGAAATGCTAGAAACAGCAATCATTCTTCGTGTAAGTGGAGTATCGATATATGTTGTGCATGCAGGCTCATCTAGGTTTTAGTCGGCGACTCCGAACTCTCTCATCATCATTGATGAACTTGGACGAGGTAGGGCACTGCTGATACCTTTAACGCATACATTCACCTGTGGCAGGTACCTCGACGTATGATGGATTTGGCTTAGCTTGGGCGATCTCAGAGTAAGCCTGCTTATTTGCCGGGTTCTTCTTGCTAATGTCAGATCCCTAGACACATTGCTTCCAAGATACACGCCTTTTGCCTTTTCGCGACACATTTCCATGAGTTAACTGCGCTGGACCAGCAAATCTCTCATGTGAAAAATTTGCATGTAGTAGCTCACGTTGCTGATACTCCAGACGAGAATCAGCGACGGGACATCACACTACTGTACAAGGTCGAGCCGGGTCAGCGCCTTTGTTCAAGCGAGTATCTTCTGCTTATTGAAAATGTTTCATGCAGGTATTTCGGACCAAGTTTTGGTATACATGTTGCCGAGTTGGCGAATTTCCCCGAAGTGTTGTCAAGGTTGTGCTCTCGTTTCTTATGTCTATCAGGAGCACAAACTCAAACATCTACTTAGCTCGCACGTCGGAAGGCAGAGGAACTGGAAGATTTTGGTGGTGGTCAGCACCCTTTTATTTTTGTTCGAGAACAGGCTCCTGATACTGCCCTTCTAGCCGAAGATTCAGCCGATGACAACATGCCCGTAGAAGTGACAAATGAAGGGATTGCCATCGTCGAGGAACTACTTTCCACTTGGGCTGCATCGCAGACTCAAGACGATGAGGACGTCGTTATGGAAGATATTGATGGCGTCTCTCCGGAAGTCCAATTAGAGAGCCTGAAGCGATGCTTCGATAACTTCAAGCCAAAGATAGAGGGCAACGCTTGGCTTCAGTCCTTGCTTGCGACACTCTAGTCCTTCATTTCACCCCGGATGCTTGAGTATTTGTAAACATTGTATTAATAGCTTGCTTTGTCGTTTGTGTATAATGCTTTGTGTAAACAATTTGATGATCAACTACTTCCTTGAAGTACATGTTCCGTACAATAAGAAAGTCTGGCGGTGATATCTAAATTGGGACAACCGCGTGGCCGATCAGCTCCGTTTTTGGAAACGAGCAACTTCACTTTGTTCATTTTGCCACTGAAATCCAGTCTGCCACTCTATAGCTCTCAACTAACAAAGTAGCTCCAATTCTCTTTTGTTCTCTTAGAGATATATAGCATACATAATCACGATGTACTCTTCCTCATCCTCGTCTTCTTCTTCTTCGTCCTACTCTCAACCTACTCTTCCTGGTCAACGTCTACGAGCGATTCAGGTCGCAACAATTATACGAGTGCGTTCTACGTGTTTTCTATCATTATTCTGCTCACACACTCTTGTGAGATATGTCCGGTACTCCAACCAAACAGCGCACGAAAGACCGCAAGTCCAATGGTACGAAGCGGAACGTCAAAGTGCAGATAGGCACCAAGATAGTTTCAGACATCGACATCCGGGAGTGGATCATAAATGTGTGGATCATTGATGACGACGCTATAAGTCCAGTTCTTGATCGTACTTGGGTTTGGACAGGCAGCTCTCCGAGAATACCAAGAAACTATGCTCCCAACCAGATAAAGTCGAACATCACCTCTATGATCCATTTACCAAATTATGCACTCCTTTGTGGAAGACTCTGCTCGATGACCCCATCTCCTCATCGTCAGAAACAGTCCAACTCTTGGAGCCTGCAAGCTAAGTTGTGGCATCAGGAGGGCGACTTCAATATTTATGCTGGAGACGAACAGCAAGAGCTCAAGGCGCCCGGACTTCCTTGCCCTTTCATCTCAGACGTTACTGTGGCTTGATGGAGACTCTAAGCGCCAACCGGATTGGTCTATGACTGTCTTTCCAATGGAGGTACAGAAAACACGGGTATCAAAACTTCGCAAAGAGCGGCATCCTTGGCAGCTCAATCAGCAACACACGTTTCCGAAGCCTCTCCGTACCGCTCGGATGAACACACCCGCCCGTCATAGCATGCCCCCCGTTGATGAAGAACCGTCGCACACGTCGTCTTCGAAGCGTAGCACCAAACGGGGAGTGTTGCACAATCCGGGAAATCTTTCTCAGCGGTCTAACAATGGCCCCATCGGTACCAGATGAACAAAGTGCCTCAGCTCGCTGCAGACGCCTTGGAATGCTTTGTTGCCACTCCTCGACTCTATGTTGTGGGGATAGCCCAGAGGGACAGCCAAATCGTTGTCATATTTCGACGCTACCTGCATGTTGAGGATGCGGCGTTTGATTTTATAGAGAAGCCCCAATATCTGGTGCTCGTGCTGTTTGCGATGCTGAAATGCACGCCCCGCATCCTAGGATGGCGGCCGGGTGTCAATCCATACTTTCATCCGGGACCCTGCGCAAGATGGAGAAGAAGGGAGTATGGCGAGGCGATGGAAAGGTTCCAGATTCGTCTTTCCCGGGGAACAGAGTGGCTCTGATTTGACATTCACAACCGAGGATAAACCTTGGTTCATAGCTCCGGAAAGTTAGCGGGTGTGAATGGCATGTGTTGTTCTAGTCATCGATGAACAAGGGCGAATCTCTTGTTCTCAAGGCTGTTTATACCGATGGCGCGCGCCCCCTTGAAACTAAATTGGTTAGGAAGCTCCTCACCAAGGCGCCCAAACTGAAGAAATATCTCCCAAACATTACCTGGAGTCGCCTCTACGACTCGGAGAAAGATCTTCACCTCCCACGTTTCAAATTTTCTCCGGAGGTCCTTTCCACGTTTCCAGTCCATCACCTTCTATACTTTGCCTGCCAGCGTTACGAAAGCTCTGGCAAGTTCATAGCCTTGAAGAGTTCAAGGCAGTCTTCATTGATTATGTTGAATGTGAGTTCTGGCTTCAAAGACGCAGTGTATGTTACTAACTGGAGACTACAGGCCATTACTGGGCCTACAAAGAGGGCAAAGCACTTCATCGTGATATCAGCGACAACAATCTCATGGGGTGCAGAGACGAACACGCAGTCGTCGGTATATTGAATGACTGGGATAACGCATCTGAAGTCGAAGAAGATGGTACGGTGATGTCGTCCAAAGCTCTCCAGCGCACCGGAACGAGGCCATTTACGGCTCTTGACTTGCTTGTTACGAACACACCATCCCACTTGTACTGTCACGACCTGGAGTCCTTCCTTTATATTCTCGTATGGGCTGGACTTCATTACAACCTCAAAGACCGTCAACGCCAAATCAAGGACCATCCCGCCGTTATGAACTGGGACGCGCAAGACCTCGAGAGGGCTCACGATGCCAAGAATTTCTTCCCTACTATGTGGCCCTACTATCAGCGCATCATCACAGGGTTCAACGACGAGTTTCGACCACTCATACCTGGTTGGATAGATCCATTACGCCAAATGTTCGGTCGCGCAGTCAGAGAGAAGGACGACACAGAGGCCAAAGCAATGGTGTTTGGTCAGCAAGATGCCTACGATAACGCGACGTGCAATGGGCAGATAACATTTGAAAACATGGCTGTTCTTCACGCTGAGCCCCGCTCGCTGTCCAATGAAGAAACGACGACTCATCCTCCCACAGAAGAGAAATCTAATTAAACACGTATAACAATAGCTTCCCCTCAATCATCGCACGACTTTCCAATTCAAACAGAAATATAATATGAAGTCCCAATGTGATTACATTGATGCCGTGGTGCAGTGGTCGTAACGTCCGTTGATCAAAATAAAACAATAAGGGAGGGGAAGTGACGCGGCGCGCCATATGTTCGTTTGGAGTCCTGCTATCCAATTCAGAGCCCTTTCACGCCTGTCCTAGAGCGCTAATGGTTACCAGTGAGCGATTCAAGTCAATGCGAGAAAGAACGAAAGCCTCACCACATAAATTGTACGCGCTATTAAGTGATAACGCATCCCCCGTCCGTCGTACACAGTTCAGATGCTTCATTCTGCGGAGTGCTATCTGGGGCTAGCCCAATCATGTCAAGGATGAACTCGACAAAGTTGTCCATGAATATTAATGAGGATGTTCGTAGAAGATTATGAGCGCAGACCAGTGCAGCTGTGATCTAAGTAGTAGGTGAGGACACCAAGCACGGGTGGGGTAGCTTTTTATATGTGGACATTACACGGCCGGTCCTATTGTCTCATTGCAAAGCGCAACCGCACTTTTTTTGGCGTAGACAATAAGAGATTTACGCTTTGAGGTATGTCGCTTCGGAGACAGTTGCCACTGGTCGGGTGCGGATCAGTGCGCTTTGCAAAGTTTCTTTCAGAACGTACAGATGGGTAATACGTTCTGATCTGTGACATCTTCTCTTCTCATTGCATGGCACAGGGCTGACGGATTAGCATCAAATGGCTATTGTTTTATGGCGCGCGCCTTACATACAAGATGACGTTATTATTTTGAGAGGCAGTCCGCATACCGGTAGCTCCGAGCGTTTACAAAGTTCCGGCAATAAAGTAGAATCGGTTGAATCTGAACTCGGACAAACAACAGGACCAGCTCCGGATCATCTTCGTCCGATTCGATAGTGTTCAACAGCAAGACTTATGCAGTGGTAGTATTCCCGAAGCCAGAGAAACAAGACGTAAAGACAGTCCTGCCCATAAAACAGATCTAGTATGCGGTGGAAACAACACGTAGTATCTGGGAACACCTCGGAGAGTCGGAAAGGCATGCAGGACTAGATTTGCCACGAATTCGAATCTGCCCCAAGACTTGCCCCTTCTTTCCACGTCTTTCATGTTGTTTTAACGGTTCGGCTGGTAGAGACGGAAATGGCCTGTTATGGAGGAGAAAGTGTCTCGAGGCTAGAGGTATGCGGGCCCCCAAGCCACTGGTCTGAGCCACTGATGATATAGCGACACCCGTGGCAAGCTTCCACTGTGAGCGTTATCAGCAGCCAACGGCACGAGAAATGCTGGGGAGAAATTCAGAGCTCCCACATAGTAGTGAGGTAGTCCCATGACCCCTTCAGGACCATATCCTACATTTGATATCGAAGGAGGTCGGTCCCTTGGTCCGGTTCTACTAGCAGTACTAGATAGTACTAGGAAAGACTCGACTCGAAAAATGGGCAGCTAAGAAGTTATTGGCTTGTCAGGTGGTGGTGGTGTTATTCATAGTCTCGGTAGACGACGCGACTACGTGGTGGGGCTGATCATAAGGTTAATCGTGCCACCTGCCTTGCAACCTAACTCGGCAACCGTTGCGGCATAAAATAGAATCCGTTTTTAGCATACCGGCAAGTTCAGTGTGGGACAATTTCAAGCCGGCACGCAAATTTTCCAGAAGATTGTACTCCTTTTTTATTTAGAATAAATTTATTTCTGTAAAATTGTTTAATATTCAGAACGCAGATACTTTTTTACTTTTCACAATGCGGCCCGAAACCTTGATAGCGCTGAGCCGACTTTCGGCCATCAAATCGTGGCATGCTTTGTAATAGCACAGGCGCCGCGGCAACTCTGCATCAGTCTCAACTGTAAACCGCAACCTCGGAATTGATGGGCACATGCGTCGCACTCGAGTAAACGTGCAAGGCCAAAAAACTTCGATTGATCAGCTACATCCTCTTCTCTTATTCTGCTGACCTGGGGTTCTTCCTCGACGACTCAGCGCAAAACGACTCGGAAAGGCTTGAAGGTATTGACTTTCGTCGCCTAACACCTTTCCACGCTAGAATATTTTGGGAACGCGCATTGCAAAGCGGCTAACTCAACGATCCCACATCAGGAATCGACGCGGCGGTAGCCGACGCTCTTGCGACTGTAGTTCGCCTTTTCTTTCAAGGCAGTGGTCAAGACTTGCAGGTTCTGAATGACCAGCGCTGAAGCGCGGCTGCATGACGGTTCCTATCAGAGGACATCGAAACTGGCAAGAAGTTACATGTGGGCCCAAATGAGATAAATAGATAAAGGTTGCAATAGCGCACTGAAAGACGAGACGTTAGGCAAACGGTAGGTGCTAGATAGGTAGGTAGTATGACTCCATACAGTGAATGTCGAAAGAAAATGGCTAATATACACATATATCTCGCACCGACGTACAGGTGGCTTTCTGCTATGCTCTGATGGCTCAATCCTAGAGGCGATTATCATTGCCTTCCTTACTACAAAGGCAAAAGTGAATATGAAATGCCATATAGCACGCAACCGACGCTCACGTTTGCAGGGAGGAGTGACTGCATAGGCACGTGTTGAAAGACGGAGCCCAGCAAGCCTCAGCCGAAGTTCATTTAGTCGGATCCAATTCCTGCAGGTCCTTGAAGGCACGGTCATGGTGATCACCGGCAAATGCCCGTTTTTTGGCCCTCGCTAAAGACTTCTACCGAATCAAAATCCTCGGCCATCCCATATCGTGTCGCCAGCATCCTCTCTGACTCTTGCAGAGGTATGATTTGATGCTGGATCACGTTCATTTCTGCTTGGTCGTCATAGTGAACAGCATGAGGGAGCATGGCCTCGAATATTCGTATACAGACACGTTTGGCGTACTCAATCAGACGTGCCTACCTTGCCGGCGAGCTTCTTGAGGTTGAGAAACATGTCCCGCGTAGTAGTGAGAATGATAGCGACTTTTGAACCCCAACACCTTGCACGAACAAACGCACAGCTCATGCCTGTCACACCACGTTACAAGCAACTGACCCGGTGCTGATCAATGGATTGTGGATATTTGAATAGTGGTTGTTGAGTACCAGCATGAGAGCCGTCACACCCGTGTGCGAGTCATGCTGGTATAAGGAAAGGCCGTAGTCTTCCATCAGTTTGTTGTAAGAAATAGAGACGGTGAAGCAGGTACGATACCTGCATCTCACGACATAACAATCATATTACTAAAAATGTAATAGATCGGATCCAGAATGCAGGTAGGTAGCATTACACGGCAGCGTCCACACAGTAAACACTGGTCCCCGACATATGTACACGACAAGGGAAGAAGGCGCTAACTACAAACAATCCTACCCTCATCTGCACGACCCACAGACCCAACGTTACTGAGCCAAGCACCGAACCACCAGCCGTAGGGGAGAAGCACCCAGTAGCAGGAAAACCAGGCAAAAAACAGCATTGTATCCACTCAGGTAGAATTAACTGCTGCCCTAGACCAGAGACCAGGTCAGCGTATGTGCACAAGCACGCGGCCACAGTATGATAGAACATATTAGGTGCTGGAACGACAACATGATGTTGACAAGGAATCTCGCTATGTAAGTGTACGTGGCAGGGTGGGGGGACGACTGTCGACATCAATTGCGGGATTGGGTGGGTATATGATATATCAATATTGGACCGCCACTGTGAAGGTGTTGGTCGCACGCATGAGAAGCAGGGAAAGGGTTGATAATTCTGTTGTACATCAGAGCACAGTTGGAGCTAGTCCATAAGCGTCACCTCTTCCATTTGTTGTCGTGGTTCCAACCTTTCCTCGGCTCTACCATTCGCACCTCCCCACCCTTCCAGCACCCCGAGAATAGTTGGTTGACGCCCAGACGGCGAATGATTTTCAGGTTTCTAGCAACTGAGGTGCTACTTTGTGTGATGTGCCGGGGTTGGTTGGGATTGGCGCAGACCGGAATAAGTACTAGACGTCCGTCGTCCCCTTCGATATCCAAAAAGTTACCTGGATTGATCTTAGTATATTCACAGCGAAAGAACAGGCACGATCAGAAAGTTCCCATGGGCGTAGCACACCAGTGAAGCGTGTTTCCCCGCAGATGGGATTTATTCATCGACACCTGGGTTAAATTGTCACCCTAAGTGATTTTTCAGGAAAATTGGAAGCTGGAAATTTTTCTTCTGAGAAGGAAGGGTCTTTGCTGGTTCAGGCTGAGGGCAGGTTATGCCGAACCGGACAAATCATGCCGGTACCTTCCGGTGGCTTGGCACCGATTGGCAGCATTGATCATGATTCTACGCCACGCTGTGCGCCACTGCGCGAGTGAGGACGCATTAAGGACAAAAATGTCCACCCACCATTATAGTTACCGTTACTTCCAGGTACTCATGGCATTGTCACGGTGGACCATCCAACTGGAAGAGGAGACTACGTCAGTTGGGTACTCACTGTAATTGAACACCATGAGGTTCTATGCCGCTATCCACCCTGGATGCGACTACTGGTCCGCATCCCCACGGACCAAATGGGTCTACATAGGCGTCAATCAGGAAGATACAGCGGAACTCATGTTTCTCGCATCCTCGGTCCAACGTGAAGGTCGGAAAACGTATCTTGTTGTTGCGAACACGGTCGGATGGCCCACATTTGCTGGGCCATTCTCAGAATAGATCCGCCTATGTGAACACGTTTAAAACGATGAGTTGGTGCGTCTAACGTCTCCCCAACGTCCTGTCATCCACGCTCACCTCTGGCAATGCAGAAATGAGTGGTATTAAGAAGCGTTGGTGCATCTCGTCAATTAAAAAGCTTTTCTTCCGCAGTATCGATATCTTTCGACGCCATCGCCGTACATGTCGGTGCTTATACGAAGGCGCCGTGTACCCAGTATGTTGATCAACTTGAATATTAAGTATGCTTATTCTGATCTAGGGTCTCGACGAAAGAATGGAGAAGATCCAAAGTCAAATCAAGCCTCTGGAAGAATTGGAGAGGAATCTGGCGAAGCAATACGGGATGGGCAGGGATTTTGATCCTGTCGAGGTTTTCGACAAGGGGAAAAGACTGGCATTTTCGAATCGCGACCAGGAGGTCCTGAAAAAGCTGGGTGAACTACACGAATTTCGGCTGCAAGCGTGCAAAGCTTAGACGTTTGGCTGAAAGATATCGTGTAAGTGTTTATCATATATATCTTCCAACGAAAGTTAACTCTTGATCGATGGATAGAGCCGAAGCACAGGAAGAACGAATCCTTCCGTATCTCTCGGAAATTTCATACCTATAGTACTGTAATATATCATCACCTAGTAAATACAAAATATTGGAAAAGGACGTGGGGATGAGGCCAAGGACAGCGGATTTTCGCAATCTGAGTTTCAACAGTGGCCAAGAGAACGATGATAGTCTACGATTGGGTCCCCGTAAATTGGCCAAGGGGTCATCTCATAAAGTGTTTCTGAAGCCCGAGCTAGCCTGCTTATCTGTTTACTTCACTTTGGCTTGTTGCCATTGGTTGTTTGGAATATGTCAGCCTGATACAGTATGCGGCCCGGACGGCAGATAAAGACGCAGGATTCTATCATCTCACATATATGAACTAAGGGAGTCTTAGGAAACACGAGACAAGTTACAACTCACAAAGAGCAATGATTTACTCTGTAGTTGTGATACTTACATACATAGAACACAAACGAAATAATACACGATAGGACAATCGAACTATAACTATACCTAACATACAGGATATAAACACAGTACCGTAAGAAAATGAGACCGAAAAAATTATTAATATAGCCGCACATTGGAAGCGACTTCATCGCTGGACCGCTTCTGCTCTAGCCTCTACAAAAAACGACTAGGTGTGTATATGCTTACACTAGCAGTGTGCTGTTATTCCGTTGCAGGGCCTAGCGGAACAGGATCACGTTCTATGTAACTAGGACTAGGACTGCAATTGCAGCTCTGAATACGCAGCCTCAGCAAATATCCACGTAATGATAAGAGAGAGTAACACCGTACCATATACCAAAGTCGTTCATTCTTACTATCCCCTGCGACAATCGGGTACTGGTTCAATAATTTATTCTCAGGAAGGTTCTTGACAAGTGTCTCGACAAGCTAGACGTAAGTTGGTAATTCGCTGTTCAAGCTAGCCGGGTCGCGAATTATCGACTTGAGCGAAGAAATCAGTGCCAAAGTAAAACACCCATTGTGCCGCTCAGACTTCGAGTCCAAGTTATCCGCCAGTTGCACTTCTGCCGCATACTCATAAGCCTGACACGCTGCCAAGACTACATGCGAATTCTCTGGGATATCAGGTGTCCAATCCCCCCCAGATATAGACGGATATCGAGGGGAACCATCATCAGTTTTTAATCTTCCCAACCTCTTATCAGCAGCCTCAAACATGTCTGCAATCGAAGTGGTTGCAGACAGAGCCTTGGCCTCGCATACCACCGCCTCTGATCCTCGAACTTGTATGCCTCTGGTCAGACCTGAGTGGCAGCAGTCCAGAATGACAGTGATGTGATGTCCTTTAGTGCGAGAGATTTCCGTGAGAATGGTGCTGAGCTCTCGGTCGCTGATATCAGGGATTGGCTTAGAGCGTCCTAGCCTAAAACCTCTGGCCCTGGCCCTACGGTCCATAGGACATAGGGCCTCTATTGTACCTGTACTGGATGGGGAATCGGGACCGTATCCAGGATGGTCCTTACAACGATAAACCGCGCCGTGCCCGGAGAAATAGATGATGACATTGTCTCCCTTCTGTATCTGGGAATTCGTAGAGTGACCAAGGAGGGCCTCAATGATGTTAGCACGAGTGGCGCGCGCAATTCTGGCCATGCCAGATGCCCGATTAAATGACGAGAGGGAAGCTGTAGTACCGAGGAGGAGACTGATATGATCTGTCGGGATGCCTAGATTCTGAGTCAAGAATCCGAAAATTTTGGTAGCATCGGATACGCAACCGCGCAAGACGTCCTCCTTAGTTGGATACGCATCAATGCCGATGACAACTGCTCAAAATTGACGACCATCGTGAAGGGGCTAAATTCAAAAAGTTGCTTGTCAGTACTGTAATATCTACCCTGATGACTGCGAGTATACGCTCATACTCACAGCGCTATGACATGCAGCTGGGTCCTCGTTCAGGGGAGGGAAGGCCATACTGAAGAGGGTTTCCGTAAGCCTATCCCCGCGGCTTTATATAGACAGAATCTCGATGGCGTTACTTGTCGCCGGTTCGTTATCTTTGATACATTGAATCGATATATTATTGCGACCAGTGTGAATAGCTACCTGGATCGAGCTGAAAGGAGGCTTTCAAGGGTTAGACTGTACCGTCAAAGAGCGGTAGATTCAGGTAAACGAGTCCGCGCCCATTTACATGTTAAGAATACGGGTATCCCAGATAATACAAGAGTAAATAGAATGTCCGAAAGCCGAGTTTCAACCACCAAGAAGGATCCAATCGTAAGGGTACTAACAAGCGCTAGGCGTAATCGATTAGATGGGATCAACGCGAGTCCGTAAGAGTGAGAATATTCTGTGCGCGCAGTTCCAAGTTTCAAAGCGGACATTCTTCCCCCCCGACATCAGTAGCAGCACTGCCTCGGAGTCGGTCTTTCACAGGCATACTTGTCGATCGTTAGACCAGCATCTGGGGAACAGGACGCTCCATCCATTATCATGAGAAGGTCGCAGGACATCAGGTGCCAGGACAGAATAAGAAGTCTCGCCTTGTATCGTTCTTGAGCGCTAACGCCTGAAAGCCCATATATTCTCATCTACTATAATTTGCCACTCGGCGTCAATATTCAGGACTCTTCTGACCCGTGGCAGCTTACATGAGTGGATGAACATGCAAAGTGTCAATTAAAAAGAGTGGTCAATGCGACAACATGCTGTAAGTAGCAGGTGACAAGACAGCACATCTTGCAGAAGTTCTGTCGCTATTGGGCAGAAGTAATCGAGCATCTGCGTAGAAGGAAACTTCAGTCGTAGTAGCAATAAATATGCAATGCTTACCTAGAGGTTGAGAAACGGAGACGTCGAGACACCCAAGCTGATACCGAAAAAGACGTAAAGATACAAGAGTCTTGCGCAGAAGCATAAACCTCCTGCCTGCCGCTCTCTTGCTTTCACATGTTCTTTATAGTAGGAGGAAGATGGCGAATCACCAGTCCCTATGAGACCGTGTCTTGACCGTCCTTATGACCGTCTCCTCGCCATCAGCGTCTGGTCTGGAGGACAGAGGTAAGATACTAGGGCTGGGATCGAAGGCCGACGCATGAGCCGATACACATCGCAAAGTTCCTAAAGAAAACATGCACACACACATGAGATATATGGGAAAGGGATGCTGACTCATGTTTACCTCGCTGTTGGAGGTAGATCATGGTCGATGCCCTCGCTGTCGCCAATCGGTAGTGATACGTTCGGCGACGCCGATATGGGAGCGACGGACACTTGCTGTAAGTGGAGGTTAGAAATGAATGACTGTCGATTTGTCGGACGTGCTACCTCAACGTTGAACCAGATCAGCGATTCATACTTCAAGTTCAACAATTTTGCGCTTGATGTTAACGTGCACTTTTTCTGTCTCTTTCCTCCGCGGAAGAGCCCAAAGCATGAGCATGTTTAGAAGAATATCTCATCAGTACGAGAGGTCTGAAAAGCATGGAAGACGTCCCGTATTGAGGTCGAGGTTGAGGTCTAGGTGGTAGAAAATGAAAACCGAACCGGCCACAACAAGTGGCGACAACGCTTACCATTCAGATAAACAATCAATTCCATCGGTTTTTAGGATCGACGCGGATTATGGTTATTCTGGATGCTACAGTTTTATTCACATGTTCTCCGGGGTGAACCTGAGAGGAGGTAGATACAGTACGCAGCGCTGAGGACCTTGATGATCGGATTTTGCGCATATATAGGACAATCGTCGTGTTTGCATCCTATTAATGTGAGCTGAAGCTTTGGAGTAGAAGAACCAAAAATAACTCGCCGTTCACCCAGACAAATCAAAGTAGAAGTATAAGACGCCTCTGACTGAGTCTCAACGACATCGGTGTCCACGTCAAAGAAGCGGCGATCTCGTAGCTTAATAACGCTATGACTTGGACCTCTCCTTTTCAGAAAGTCTTGTCGGTTCGTCCCCTTCAAAGCATTCCAAGCTCGACGCCGTTTCCCGCTACCACGGCCAAGCAGGGCATAATATAGATGATTCCTTGAGCCTCTAGGTAGTTTGCAGATACAAACACTGAGGTTGCCACAACCACTCCATCTCTCGATTCGCGGGCGCATAAATGTCAAGCTGTTGCAGATATTTTCAGAGACGCGGTTGTAGGGTCGAAGGGAGGTTACAAGTGAAGCCAAGCTTGAAGCGGCATCTGCCGGTATCGCATCTTATCAGATCTTATCTCTCAGAAACTTCCCACGCTCACCCAGACGAGACAACTTTCCCACACTCTTCAGAAACCTCGCCAACACCGACCGCGGTCGTCCACAAGAACGCTGAAAACCCTCAAGACGACAATATGGTGAGTCCGTCGCGTTCTGTGTATCTCTAGGATGCTGTTTCCGGGAAATCTGGTGTGGAAGGATGTATTATTGGGCTGGATGCAGTGGTGGATGGCAGGATGACGCTGGTGTGACTTCCTCGAAAATTTCATTCCTATCTTTCCCTTGTCTCGAATGCCAACTGACTAATTCTTCTTGTTTTAGACCAAAGGTTCGTTGTAGTACATTTCGAAGATCTATCTTTTCCTCATTTCTTTCCTCGGAATAGGCACATCGTCCTTCGGGTGCGTGATACTTGGTTTCTTTCGTTACGACCCTCGCTAACGTTTCCTTTCAATTTTACAGAAAACGGCACACTAAAAGTCACACCCTATGCCGCCGATGCGGTAACAGGGCCTTCCACAGGCAGCACAAGAGTACGGTTATTCTTTGTTTCCGAGAGGTCGCAAGAGTTGACATTTGTCACCACTAGCTTGTGCTCAGTGTGGATACCCTTCCGCAAAGCTTCGATCGTATGAATGGGGCCAGAAAGCCAAGCGGAGAAAGACGACTGGTACTGGACGGATGCGTCACCTTAAGGACGTATCTAGGCGGTTCAAGAATGGTTTCAGGTATGTGTCGAGAGTGGTTGCAAGGCGTATTCACCTGACGGGTTCCTTCCAGGGAGAACACCGTTGCTAAGAAGAGGTCCAAGCCAACGGAAGCGTGAAGCTCCTAGTCAAAAGTCCGTAGACTGACGTTGATATCTACCTTTACTTCATGTTTCGATGATCCCAATCCCATCGCCTCTTCATGATGCCCGCCGCTCGAACTGCCTTTTCGTTTATGTGCTTACAGCTTCACTCATTTCAAGGACCTGAGGAAGAGACTGAATCAATATTAAGATAACCTTCATTTCGCCTTTCCGCCGACACTTATGGCCATGAAGGAGTCTGCCTTTGGCTGGCAATTCATCGTTTTTTTTTTCTTTCTGTCGTTTTTCAGGTGACCGCTGCCTACGGGTACCTAAGTCATGTCACAAGTGCTACAGGAAGACTTCTGCGACACCATTTGGCTTATTAACGTTTCTCTAGCAAGCGTTTGAATCAAACTCATCTGCAGGCGTCCTTCTCCCAACCGCAATTTGCTTCAGTTTTGTGTCGACGCACTGTTGGAAATATTTGGCAACTGACAATATATTCTCAACGGTAGTAGTGGAGAACCCGAAGATGGTGAGCTTTGCGATATGCATACGGACGTTCTTACTCATCGTCTTTCTTGTGCAGGTGGTCTGGCTAAAGTGGATAGCGAAGTCCTTGTGTGGACTATCCTTAAGAGCGACGCGAGATGTTCGAAAGCGCATCTCTAATATTTGTCATGCCATTTACATGCAACTGATTTTCTGGTTCAGGGTCTAGATGCATCAGAATTACTATAGTATGGCCCAACGTTCTCAAAGGAGGAATCCTTTATAGCCTCGAATGTAACTAGCACTTGGAAGGAGGCGTCAACTGAATACGTTGTTACACGTCTGTATGGTGAAGATGCGACGCTAGCCTCCTTCCCAATGGACAACGAAGGCGCCGCCTAATGATATTCAGTTCATTAACAAGACGCCTAGGACAACATTCTTCCAGTTCTATTAAACCGCCTTGGTCCAACTTCAGGATATGATCGCACCATGATAAGATCCGAGTCATCTGAATCTCACGTCTGACACGTCCGACCCGTGTCGTTCTTTCAAGCGTTCGAATTCTACCTTCCCTTCCACCCCCCGCCCTTCACCAGATTACTGTTCTGCTCTCTAGGACGCGTGGTATCCCTCGACGCGTCAGTTCCGCAAGCAGCCGACGATCGAGGAAGGATCGGGGGGGGTATAAAACCAGGCATGGATCGGGAAATCCAACATTATAAATCTTTTCACCAACCACCACCATGGCTCTAAACTCGGCACTCTTAATCAGCGTCTGTCTGCTTTTCCTGGTCTCCCTGTACAAGGCGTCCATTTCCGCCTCTGACGTAAGTTGGAGGTGGGTCGGACCCTCCGTCCTGATGGATGTTTCTTTTGCCCAAATCGTGGTCGCCGATGTCTTCGCGCCAGCGGTCTTCGAGACCATGGTTCCTGCCGAACCATCCTCGACGCGAATTTCGATGAAGCCTACGGACTACCTGCATCACGAGACGTTCTTCCAAGCGTCCCCTCCTGGTATCCCGCCTAACGTCGCACGGTCTTCGTCGAACAAACGGATCCTCAAGGCGTGCTCACTCCCGGTTATCATGTCCGTTCTCTCTGCCATCGTCGTGGTCTTCATTCGGGTGTTGAAGCCATCCCATGGTCGTCACTCTACGTCTAGCTTCGTTGTATACCGTGCTGCGTTCTGCCATTCTCTGGTTCAAGCTCACGAACTTTATTCCTTGCCCTCATTTTGGCCGTCACGGTCGCCCTCACGCTGGGTCTGTTGGTCGTCCAAAGCCTCCTCTCTGCGAGCAATTCCACCACGTTCGACGTCCTGCGCATTGTCCTGTTCGCTCATGTAGGAATGGCGGGAATCTACGTCATTGTTTCTGCTTTATGGGACACTTTGGAGAGATGCGTGGCAAACGAAGAAAGCGGAATTGGCCAAGGCGAGGTTGCTGCCGAAGAGGATACACTGGGAGGAGATGACGGAGAACAGGACATAGGTTCACTGCCGGTTTCAAACCTTCAGGTGACTGTCGTATACCATAAATTAGCCCGCATTTGTTCATTGTTCCTTCCAGGCATCGACAAATATGGCGTCCCTACCATCAAAGAACTTGGCGCGCAGTCACAGTACAATGTACATGTCCATGGAGAGCTCGGATGTGAGTACTACACAGAACACATGTATAACGGTCACTGATATTTGTCTTTTCAGCACGTATCCCAGGATTTATTTTCATCATTCCACTCTGCAATATTTCGAACCCCACTGGATAAACTACGCCGAGACGTTGCTGAGTACGAAAAGGACCTCGATGTGAGTTTCAGACTGGTTTCTCTTGCTGAACGTGCTAACGCGTGGCTTGTAGACATTATTGGTCACCGACCTTTTCATGAATCCCCGTAAAGTGCCGTCGACGATTGCGAGTGCGCCTACAGTCGTCCACGAACCAGAACAAAGTGTCGCGGTGAGCATCGTCGAATGGTTATCTTTATACACCTGCTGATAGGTGATGTTGTGTAGAACATGTTCGCGGCTCGCCCATTCCCATTCCCAGACCGGCCTACGAATCCCTGCCCTACGGGACTCATCCCGTGGTGATGACGAAGAGCGAAATTAGGGCTACCCTCAATGGAGCGGCCTAGAAATCCAATGCTTCAGGACTCGTATCCTCAGATGGATCCGATTACGGGTACGCCTGTGCCCTTGCCCTCCTTGCTTCCGAATGTCTCCCAGCAACTCGGAAACAAGGGTCAGGGGGTGAGGAAACGGTGAGCATCGTCACTTGATTAATGTGGTACACCTGCTGATGGGCATGAAAAGGTTATGGCTCAGCCATTGGAGAGGCCATCGAACCCAGTCCTGAGGTCGACATGTGAGGTGCCGGCGGTGACGACTGTTCGTCGGCTCGCACTTCCAAGGCCATCTCAGATGAAGGCACCCTCTCAGCGGAAGGGGGCAATTTCCGTCGACCCGGTTCAGATGATTGGACCATCCCGCGTCCCGAAGCCGACGTCCTCTCGGATTCCGATCCCCAGGACGGTGCAGCGACCGGGGAAGGCTTTACCGCCATCCGTCCCCTCGCTGCATCCAAACCAGCGAACCGCCATCCCCTGCCGTTCCCCCTTCATTGCGCCTACTACGCGCCAGCGGGACAAAAGGGGAACTGCCGTCCACCGAGCACATCGCTACGTGAGCTTTCATTCCAGTCAATTGTATTTTCATTATTCTAACTTTATTCTCAGATCCCTAGTTCCAAAAATCCTCGATGAACTTGCCACCATGATACACCGACGAACGCTTGAAATGACGAGGATATCGACTAAAGAAAATACTCAGTACTATGTCGCGACATTAGGATTCTTTAGGGACGATCAGCGGTGCATTGGGGTCGACGGGCTCTGGTGCATGCGGCTGGTCACCGGAGGAAGGCTGGTTCGCTGACGAGCTTACCAGTCCTTCCTCTGTCCCTGGCATACGAGGAACCTTGGAGACGGTGTGGTCGACGGGCTAACACTGTTCTCTGAGGGGCCTCGGAAGGACGGTTGGCTGCCGACGGGTAGTTGACTAGTCCTGTTCTGCCTTTCCCAATGCTTCGTGTCAACAACAAACTATTACATTCTATGATATCCTCGTCGTCCCCTGTGTCTCGTCGGTTCTCGGTCTCATCATCATCCTTGGAAATTCGATTCAGGACATCTGCGCCCGTGCTCATATCTTACGAGATATTTATATCATCTTTTTCTCGACATGCATATCTTTTCGTCGACATCCTACCCCTCGCTAGGCTATCATTATCCATATCTATTGCGTTGACCCTTCTGGACCTGCATATTCGTCCTTTGGTGTCGAGCCTCAGCCTATCATCATCGCTATCGATCACTGCTACTCAGCCTATCATTATTGCTATCGATACTTCTACACCCCGTAACCCCATTTCTCTCTACTTTCGACGTGCATATCTCTTCGTCGACATTCTACCCCTCTGCGGTCTATCTTTATTCATATCTATTCCTATGCCTTCGGACTCAAATAATGTCCATCGGCGCCTATCTTCAGCCTATCATCATCCCTATTCATCACTTCTATTCTCCCTCTATTTTCCGACGTGCATATCTCTTCGTCGCATCCTACCACTCCAGCCTATCCTGGTTCATATCTATCATTTCGATGCTTTCGGGCTCGAATAACATCCTTCGGCGTCTATCGTCAGTCTATCATCAACATCGCTATTCCTCACTTCAACTGTTCCCTCTCTACCGCGTTTCTATCTCTCCATCCTACACCCCCAGCCTATCCTGATTCTCATCTATCATTTTGATGCTTTCTGGCTCGATTAACATCCTTTGGCGTCTACCGTCATCGCTATTCCTTCTAGTATTTCCTCTATAACTCGTTTCTATCTCTCTGGATCTCTTGGTCTTCTCTGGGCATTTCGGGGACAGCCTATACCCTTGTGAACTTGCAAAGTTCTGATTCAAGGGCACTCTATCCTTATTCATATTTAACAATCTTCCGGGTTTCTTGGATTTTTTTTTGGTGTTTGTATATTTCTGGGTTCTTGAAAATCTATTGTTTTATGAGACGGATCCACCGATTGTAACTGAATTTAGGTAAGCTCAAATCTTAGGGCCCGTTCGTGTGCCTCTGGCTAAGATCAGCCGGAGGGTTATGGGAAGATTAACCGGAGTGGTCACAAATTGTCACAGTCATCGGGTAATTTCGGATGATATCCGAACGACGTTAGATGTCAGTTGTCATTGTTCCCCCGCTTCGCCGAAGGGCACCTGTCACGACCCCGCCTATGCCGCTCATTGACCGACACATCGGTCACAGCACTTCTCAGAAATGAGTTCATTTTACTCGACATTACTTGTAATGAATATGTAGTCCACTTTTGTGCCATTTTCCTGATAATGTCGTGCTCATCACATATGATGAGCGGGAAGACAGTAATTGTTGGCAGGAGTGAGCGCAGCATCGGTACAAGGGGCGGAGCGTGACAACGGGACTATATGACTCCGAAGCCGACTTAAGCTGACCGTTTAAGATTTTGGCAGTGGAGCGGATCTAGCCGGAGGCACACGAACGGGCCCTTAGCGCTTCTTCTGGGTAAGTGGTCGCATTTGAGCACTTGGCCTTCGCTTTGGTCCTTGGAACTACAACCACCGTTTCCTTTTTTCACTGCCAACTGGTTCCCTCAGCGATCCATGCGTCAGATTAATCCATAGATATTTCGCTGCTAAGTTTGTACAAATGTAAACATCGGGACTGATCTTTCACTCCCTCCTAGTCAGCTGCGAATGATCTTTGCTCCACCAAAAAAAAATCTTTCACTCCTCCGGTTTTTGGACTCTCTGGGCATATAAGGACACGTCAGCCTTTAGCGCCGCTTCTCAATGATAGCTTTCCTTTCGCTAGTGGTAGTCGTGACATGGTTCCTTTCCAACCTATCTAGTATTGGCTGTCAATATCAACTAAGACTAGCGTCAGATCCCAACCACCAGCCATTTCAGCCAGCTTCGTTCGATGGAAAAAAAGAGTTCATCCCAACACCTGAAAACCCGTTAATTTGAGATCAGCTTCTTCCCAGTCAGTTTATGGTGAATGAATACGGTGCAAAGCATATTCGGGTACGTGAGAGAACCTGGACGATGGATTTTATGTTGAATATATTAGGTGGCAATCGGCGAAGTCGACAATATGGCCGAGGTATTTTATTTTTACCACTCTGGATCCACCAAGAGGGTCCTGCCTGTTGAGAGTAATGAAGGAATACACGGGATAACGTGACCCCGGGTAGCAATTGCAACGACGTTCCTCACCACCATCATCGAGTCCCTTGGCGGCTCCTTCCCAGCTTCACATACCTGTAATACCTTCCCAGAGTCCTGTCCTTCGCGTTCCTATGCCCTATTGGAAGCTCTGGCAGCCACAGGACTGCTCAGGTATCTATATTCGCTTTGCCCACCGCTCCTTAATTGACCTTATATCTATCAGTGCTAATGAAGAAATGGACGATAATGGCGTAGTAGCTCGAATAACAGAGAACAGGGCCACCTTAGAAGCCGTTGCTGAGGGTTGAGCTAGGTTCAAAGTACGTCTGCCTCTATTGTTTTCAAAACTTGCCTATAACGCACTGCTTCTCGTACAGAATTCGCTTTGAAGGATACGCATCACGGCCCGCTGCTGGAATACGTTCAGATTCTGGAATAAAGAAAGCATCCATACATCCATCCTGCCTCGTCTCGACCTACAGCGCTCCTTTCCATTTCTCATTCCAGTCTTCAACTCGTCCATCTTCATCGTGAACGGCGTCGCTCCCGTCCGCCTCTCTTTCCAGTCTTCTCAAACTGGCGCCATCCAGAGCTCTGTTCACCTCATTTTTTTCAACCCGTTCTATGTTTCGTGAAGACTATCCAGACGATTCGAGTGCCCATCTTTACGCGCAAAACACCGGCTATTCTCGGTGTATAGGCTCTGGTGCCGAACGACGCGATTTGGTTTGCCGCGAATGCATGAGCGCAATCGCTGGAGGAATATCTGTTTGTTCGGGGGGGGGGGGTACAGAACGACGGAAAGTGTGCTACGAGGAGCCTGTGTCGTACCTGGGTAATAGCCAAGTGCACATATATGCGAGCTTTGGTCAACGGATATTGTGCAGTGTATCTGGTAAGCCACATACTATGCACTGCTGAACTGCATTCCATGAACTAATATCATGTCCCAGGTGCGAGATGTTCGTTGATATCATCTATCATTCTTCAACATGTTGCGTCGCGTGCTAGTATTTCTGTGCCACGTATTCTGTCCCGACATCATCAAATTTTTTACCATTTACAAACATGGAACACCGACTTCGGACTCCCTAATTCAATGGGTACATCTAGAAAGGCAACGCAACGTTCATATTCGGTCGCTATCTCTATCTTTGGCCTGGTATGGTATATCGGCAATGGCATCGGTGATCACGTCCATACCATCATCAGCTCGGATGGGAAGAGTAAGGGGCTTTTTCCATCCTTGACGATGGGACCGTCTTTTTAGGTCCAAGGAATGCGGTATCGCGGTACAACCACTGCATAGTACGGACAAGGATGGCAAATAACTTTTGCCCTGCCCTAAATTACACATGATCTCGGAGGGACCGGACCGCGCCCAGCGCTCCGAAATCCAGTCTTTGTCTTCCAAGCATTCCAATGGACAACGAATGCGCTGCCAGACGATATTGGGCTCATCGACGGGACACCTAGGAAAATGTTCTTTCAATCCTACTAAAACGCCTTGGCCTAACTTCGGGATATGATCGTGCCGTGAAAAAATCCAAATCATCTGAATATCACGACTGGCATGTCCGACCCGTGTCGATCTTTCAAGCATTCAAATTCTACCTTCCCTTCCACCGCCCGCCCTTCACCAGATTACTACTCTGCCCTCTAGGATGCGTCGTATTTCTCGACACGTCAGTCACGCAAGCAGCCGACGATCGAGGAAAGATCGGGGGTATAAAAGCAGCCATGGATCGAGAAATCCAACATTATAAATCTTCTCACCTACCATCACCATGGTTCTAAACTCGGTACTGTTAACCAGTACTTGTCTACTCTTCCTGGTCTCCCTCTACAGGGCGTCTATTTTTGCCTCTGACGTAAGTTGGCGGTAGGTCGCACTAGATGTTCCTCTCGCACAAATGATGGTCGCCGATGTCGTCTCGCCAGCGGTCTTCGAGGCCATGGCCTCGGTCGTCCAACCGCATCCTCCTAGTATCCCGCCTAATGGCACACGGTCTCTGTCGAACAAGCAGATCCTCAAGGCGTGCTCACTCCCGGTTATCATGTCCGTTCTCTCTGCCATCGGCGTGGTCTTCAATCGGGTGTTCAAGCTATCCCATGGTCGTCACTCTGCATCTAGTTCGTTGTCTACCGTGCTGCGTTCTACCATCTCGGGTTCAAGCTCACGAACCTTATTCCTTGCCCTCATTTTGGCCGTCACGGTCGCCCTCACGCTGGGTCTGTTGGTCGTCCAAAGCCTCCTCCTCTCTGCGAACAGTTCCACTACTTTCGACGTCCTGCGCATTGTCCTGTTCGCTCATGTAGGAATGGCGGGAATCTACGTCATTGTTTCTGCTTTATGGGACACTTTGGAGAGACGCGTGGCAAATGAAGAACGCGGAATTGGCCAAGGCGAGGTTGCTGCCGAAGAGGATACACTGGGAGGAGATGACGGAGAACAGGACATAGGTTCACTGCCGGTTACAAACCTTCAGGTGACTGTCGTATACCATGATATAACCCACATGTGTTCACTCTTCCTTTCAGGCATTATCAACTACGGCATACATGTCAGCAAGATCAACCAATGGCGAACCTGCATCCGAAATACCCGAAGCCCAGGTAAGCACCGCCGTTTAGTGCCTTTAATGCACCGACTAACTTTACGTGTGATAGGTTACCTCCTCCACCGGCAACACACCCTCGAACCAATCGGTTGCGACGGTCCCAGAACAAAACGGAGCATCACTTATGCCGTTGGTGAATCGGGCGCGAGGTATGAGGTTCCGGATTCCTTCGAATCTCCCATTCCCTCGGAGGAGACCTTGGACGTGAGTACCACGCAGAATACATGTCCTACGGTCATTGATATTTGTCTTTTCAGCACGTATCCCAGGATTTATATTCATCAATAGGCTCCAACCCCCTCTTCGACAAACTACGTCGGGACTTGGCTGAGTACGAAAAGGACCTCGAGGTGAGTTTCTGACTGCATCCGGGTAATAATCGAGTGCGCATGTATGCGAGCTTTGATCAACACATATTGTGCAGTGTATCTGGTAAGCTACATACTATGCTCTGCTGAGCCGCTTTCCGTGAACTGATATCATCTCCCAGAGGCGAGGCGTTAGTGTTGTAATGTTATCTATCATCATTCAACATGTTGCCTCGCGTGCTAGTATTTCTGCGCCACGTATTCTCTGTCCTGCTATCATCAAGGTTTTTACCGTTTACAAACGTGGAACGCCCTTCGGACTCCATAATTGCACCGCAAAGTTCATGTTCAGTCGCTATTATCTCTATCTGGCCTGGTAAATCAGCAATGGCATCAGTAATCCCGTTTATGCAGTATAGCTATCTAGGTACTTACCTACTAAGTAGACGTGGACGGGACGGCAAATGACCTGTGCCCTGCCCTAAAGTACACGTGATCTCGGAGGGACCGGACCGCGTCCAACACTCAAGTTTCCAGTCTTCCAAGCACTCCCGTGTTCAGCTCAGCAACAGACAGCGACCATCAATGGTGTCGCAGTGTCCTAGTTTAACCCTCCCTGGCAGCCGCTGTCTGCATCATTTTTTCATCGACTAACTGACTTTTGAATGGTCCTTTGATGAAACAAGCCCGCACCACGCTTTCAGCCAGGGATTCTCTTTTTGTACTCGTATCTATCAGCTAATTTGTCGACTTTTTGCCTCAGGCTCCGTATCTGCTTACACCCTCCAGTTTCCGTTTCATGCGGTCCCATTTAGCCCGCCCTATGAATATTCTAAAGGTCCAGGTCTTTTGTTACTCCGCTCCTTACGGGCCCAAGATACTTGCTTGGGTCGGCCCATTTGGTACGATGGTATTTTTTTAACTCTACCTAACGACTATTTATCGTGCCTTTGCTTCTAGTTCAAACTCCCCCAGCCCGCCTTATCCATCTCTCCGCGCCGTTGGTATGTAGACCCATTCGGTGCTAGTCGAGTGGGACACCCTCTTCAGAATGTGTCTTCCGGTACTGCTGGGCTTGATGTCTAAGGGTCTCAGCTATTTTTTATGGTCTCTTTGTAGGCCTTTTCATCCTGAAAACTGCTCCGCTCCACTGTCTGAACTAAAAGGAATTTTCAGATACCTGGGCCATCACATTTTTTGTTGGTTTCGCGTACGCACCCGCCCCGTCTTCTATTCCTCGATCGGTGTTTATATTACCAGATCTAGGTGTACTTGTGCGCCGTTTCACACCTATTCCTCGTCATTAAGTATGAATTGATATCTCGGTTCTGCTCTTGGGTGCATCCTTAATCCGATACTAGTCCCCAGTTGAACCTCTGCTCTATAATAATATCCGTTTCTCTCGACCCTCTGGGTAGATATAAAAACATCAAATGGCCTCTCCATATCATCATTCGATAACCCACAAGTCTTTCGAATACTCGACATATCTACAATGTTCTCTCTCAAGCAATATGCCATCGCTGCATTGGCTTTGTCCATCGGCGTGGTCAACGCGCTCACCGGAGAAGGTACGCGCTTCTGCTACAGTCTTCGTTGCGGTCGTACTCATACTAGCTCCCAGCGACTTGGTACACTCCCAATGGGGGCGTCGGCGTCGGCGCCTGCGGTGCGCCCATGCAGAACTCGGACCACATCGTCGCGCTCTCCAGTGACCAGTATGCTGGAGGGGCGCACTGTTGGAAGCACATTGGCGTGCACTGTACGTTCAATAGGACCTGGATGTCTCGGTGGTGCTGACGATGTGTTCTTTTAGACAAGGGCAAGTTTGTAGACGCTACCATCGGGGACCTTTGCCCTGCGTGGGCGGCACAAGATGCATCGAATGGTACAACGGAATAGGGATACTGAGCTTGTATCGACCAACTGAGAAAATTTACGACGATCGTGACAAGGTGAAGAAGACTCCAGAGCGTAAACGAATAGAGAAGGGGCAGGATTCCCTGCTCTTCGGAGAAGCTCACAAGTTAACGGATGTCACAGCAGTACATTTGGATTCAAATTGATTGAATAATGGTCTAATGATACATGGTAAAAGACTACTGATCTTTGAATACAGCACCTCAAGTCTGCAATGAAGGGTGACGACATCCAAGGACACCACAACGAATCTATTGATGATGGCGAGGGTGGGAGGCTGAATGGCCTTGGCAATGCCGAATCGTACCCAGGTGGAGTCACAGCATGCAGTGGAGAAAGCTGCTCCGAGCAGAGACAATATCTGTGATAGTCAGCAAACTGAACTGAGTGAGGGGAGCACATACCCAATTTTCGTTATGGCTTCAAATGGCCAGTCCTCCCAAAAAGGTCCAGCATATCCCATTCACCGTCGCCAACTAGCCCATCTCGGTCGTCATCCTAACGCTTCTGCAGGGCATCCCTTGTTGGACATCAGGAGGGATACTGATCAAGTTGACAGCACCAGTCCCGGTGACGATCTGTGCGGGAAAAGTGGCGGAGATTGTCGGTCTTCTAATACTGTATCTGCGGTTGTTGAGTACGGAGTCGCAGTCGAGGTCGAGATCAAGGAACAAGAAATAGCTGTGAAGCACAGAGATGAGACCGTTTGGACAAATGCCTCCCCAGTAATCAGGAATACGGCGTCTAAAGGAATTGTTAATTCCATCATGAATGCACTAATCTCAAGTACGTACCGAAATGTTGGCGATTTGAATCATGTTCAACGTCGAGGCGGGAAAACGAAAGAAAGCGAAGAAGAGCGGAGTCCTTAAGGCGGTACGAAGTAATAAGTAGGGTATTACTAAGCAGGGAACACGGCACGGCGAATTATCGGACTATCACCATCATGCACCGCCACCGAGATCCTCAGGTTAGCCTAGGTTAGCATAGACCGAATCCTGTATACACAGGACTCGGAATTGTGCCTTGTTTTCAGCAACCAACATCTGAATGGTATCCACATCGCCCTCTGGCTCGCAACTATCAGTTGTCTCTGATCCATCATGTCCCAGGTCAATATTGGCAGATAAATTGCTACCAGGATTCAATGGCAAGATCATGGTTGCAACTATCACTGTGAGCACTGTTAGTGCCAGCCTTGTCAGATTTTGGCGGATCGAATGACATATATAGGTAAGCTACAACTTTGTACTGTAAAATTGCTAATGATTAGTACTCGCTTAGGTTGTTCATGAATCATGCCACCATTGAAGTTAGAGAAGATTAGCGCAGTCCATGGACGCTTGAAGATTGGATCGTTCGCTCTTAAGTTCGAAAGCCCAGACTTCTGGTCCCATGCCCTGAAATCACCGGCAGAAGTTGATACTTCTGTGTTGGTAAGATATCCTTACCCCTCCACAATCATACTATCTGTAATCCTGTGCCCATCAGTTTTAATGAAACAGTGGGCTAAGCCCTTTCTTTAGTGCTACATAAGGGTAGACATTGAACTCAGTCTGCAAACCTCTCCGCAAATCTTCATCATGCCAGATGAACAAGCATTAATCGCACCATTGAATCAGGCGCTATTGGGAGTCTTTGGGAATGGTCAGTATGCAAATTGATGCATATACACGTTTACTGAGTGGGTTGAGATATAATAGGCATCCATACTTGGATTGTGGTATAGGCTTTGTGGGCGACATGTGCGTTGATCCTCAATTTTGCAGTGCTGTGCATGATATAGATATCGATAGTCTTGAGTAAACAATGTTGGCCCAAAAACTGAACCATCATGGTCTTCCTCATTGTGTTCTTGTATGTCTTCGCCACGATTTATATTGCTGCAAGCTGGGCTTTTGTTATCTACCTCTATATTGGGAAAGGAAACTCTAGTATTGCTCATTTTCTATATACTTGGCTGGTAATTACGTTGGGTATCAATGCTGGCATTGCCGACTGCATCATGGTCTGTTATGGTGTTCTATATTTCCCATTTTCAACATGTACTGACTATTGCACACTGTATAGATCTGGCACTGTTGGATTGTTTGCAGCTGTTGTTGGTCTGTCGTTTTCTTATCAATACTACTTCTTATGGCTCAGGAAGGTACAGCACTGGAACTTCCTTCCCCTATTATATGATCAACCTTCCTTTGCAGTCTGTGGCTATTTTGCATTTCAAATAGGTTTACACAATACAGCTACTGGACCCTCGTCATCACTATCAGAAGTCAGCTGGGCAATAATGTTTCTTTCCTTCTCCCTAGGAACCACACTTTGGTGTACCACACTCATAATCTATCGTATCCTGACATTCAAGAAGTACATAGATGACAACATCAATACATGCACCTACCACTGAGTCATCGAGATCCTAGTTGAATCTTGTTGAGGATAGAACAGCTCAGTCAGTCACTTGTAGTGATAGTGAATGGCTGTATTAGATACGCTACCTGTTGAGGATAGAACAGCTGAGGTGCATAGAGGGGTAAAACGATAGGTATATCCAATGAAAGTAAAGGGGTTGTAAAACTATATATAGAAGGTAAGTTCAAAGAAGAAATAGTACGAATGTATACGGGCTATGGTTGAATCCTTGACACTCCCCCTGAAACCTATGCCCATATCATGCATGACTCTACACTCTAGTCATCCCCATTCTCCTCAGTAATTCCGCTGCACGCGGCTTAGGCACACTCTTGGTAAACAAGTCGGCTAAATTATCCTCGGAGGCGATATAGCATACATCCAATTCACCAAGTTGAATGCTGTCGTGAATCCAGTGGTAGTCCATAGCGAAGTGCTTGGACTTACCATGCCGCTTGGTATTCTGTGTTAAGCCAATAGCAGAATTGTTGTCGCAGTTGAGAGGGTAAGGTCGGTCCTTTGGTAACTCGATCTCATCTAAGAACGATCCCATCCATAATGACTGATGGCCCCCATGAACTGTAGCGACGTATTCAGCCTCTGAAGTTGAAAGTGCGACTCGTTTTTGGGACCGAGAGCTCCATGCAATGGGACCACCCGCCATAGTAAAGACATAACCCATCGTAGACTTTCCCATCGTCCTATCATCACCATGGGACGAGTCTACGTATCCAACAGGCATCAGGCCATCATCCTCTGAATTCCCTCGATTGTATGTGATGTGATATTCAATGGTTCCCTTCAAGTAAGCAAGGACTTGCATAGCATGATTCCAGTGAATAGGGCGAGCGTCAGATGCGTATCGTTGGAGGTAATTGGTAGCAAAAGCAATATCGGGTCTCGTTCCATTGGCGATGTGATTTAGTGATCCGAGTACACCACGGTAATCTTTATCCCTCATGAATTCTTTGTCCGCATTTGGAATCGGCTGGGGTTGTGTCTCGAGGTTCATCAGACTTCCAACAGGAAGCGGTGTAGCCTTTGGTTTGCAATCAGCCATTCCGAAATTCTCTAACATCTTCAAAATCAGATTCTTTTGATGCAAAGAGATGGTACCAGCTTCCTCATCAAACTCCACTGTCATACCAAGGACACTATTGTGCTTCCCCAAGTCTTTGATCTCGTATACACTCCCAATATCCCTCTGGACGCGTTGGCCTTCCTCCTCAGATGTTGATGCACCAGAGACATTGTCTGTGTATGTACATGTGTACATTCGTTCTGATCCATTCTTCAGAAGGTGGACGCATGGGTCCGCTCGTGACTGTTTATGGCCTTGCACCACCAGGGTGTTGTTGAGCTCGTGAAACCACGCATTCCCAGCGTCCATCGTCCCATACATTGCCCTCATCATTAGTAGTACGTACTCCCCTTTTGGATAGTCCCTGGTCACAACATCTTCGTATCCCTGTGGAAGTGAGACATAGTTTTCTCCTTGAGGTTCCACATTCAGGTAGGTGCCAACAAAGTCTATAAGCCAGAATTTCAGGGCATGAGCTGTGACAATGGCGAAGAATATCCGTAGTGATTCATATCGGACCACAGCAGTGAATGAATCGTAGTAGTGTAGACCTTTGATCTGGGTAAATCCTTTGACCACGAGTCTTGCGCATTGTTTGATGAGTTCCGCGGTGTCTCCATCAAGCTTCTTGTCAAATGTCCATCTGGTATCGATTACGTGCATCCATGGCTCCTTTGGAACAACCCTCCATACGTCTCTTTCTTCCATTCGTCTGATTTCGGTGTCCATGGCTGGTTTCCAGATCCTCGCCTTGGTCATTGCTTCATGGTAGTCGTCTGGTACCCAAAGGTCATGCCTGTCAATGATATTACTGATTTCGGATGCTTTGAGAGCCACTATATCTTCTACATCATCTTCATCAGGGAGTAGTGGAACGAGGTTATCATTGGCCCAGTCTTTCCCTTGCTGTTTGGCTGTTTCCTCATGTTGCGTGTACTCCTTGGACTCATGTAATGCTTTGGTGGGCTTTGGTATGCGAGATGAACGTCGTATAGGCTGTGGGATGACTCGAGGTTGGATTGGGGGCGCTTGTGCAGGAACGGCAGGTATGGTTGGCAATTGGATTGGTTGAGATCGATTGGGACTTGGTGGATCCATCGGTGGCTGTGAGTGATTCTCGATTGTTTCTTTGAGTGGTTCAACTAGGTCGTCATACACGATCTCCCCCTCACGAGAAGAAACGGTACGCGTAGGACTGAGTTCCTCGAATATGACATCACGAGATGTGATGATATTGTTGCCAGGTATGTCATCCAGCAGGATCCTGTATGTGCCATGCCCTGCCAAGCTGACAAACCAGCCTTTCTGTCCTCACAGAGATAATTTGCTGTGACCTTTGGCTGCAGGAATCTTCGCATAACAGGTTGATCCCCAAACTCTTAGATGACCCACTGTCTGCTGCTTACCGCTCCATTCTTCCTCCGGTACTTTCCCTGGGTACTGTGATGATGGGAGTAAATTCCCAGCTTTGATTGCATAGTCACACGCCTCA